GTGATGATATGTGATTAGTTTGACTATTCCCCCAATAAAATATATGATTTGGTGGTCAAGAAGACATTAATTGATTATTAGTGGCTAATGGACATTAAATATTAGACATTAGCATGTATCTAACATGGTGGATGAGGAACATTAATGGTTAGGTGATTATGGACAATCGATTTGGTCATTTTCTTGATAATAAATGAGATAAAGCAATCTAGAAGACATGCATCAAATGATGAATATTGATGAATGTTAGATTTTATTCATTGATAAACATCGAGATACGGTCAATGGGAATATCAAGTATCATGAGATTATGGACAATTAGCTTTGCCAATCTTATGATAGGATGGAGTTATTACTACTGAGAATATGAATATAAAAATTTAATGATTGATATAAGTTATACATCATTTATTAGCAAACATAAATCAATTATTAATAGGAATGGTAAGCATCATGCAATTAAGGATAATTTACTTAGTTGCTATTTTGATAAAATTGAAAACTAGGCCATAAAGAATATGAGTGTTAGACGTCAATGGTTTATATGTCAAACATTGATACTTATAAAGTCTCAGAAATTAGTTGATGGTGGGTATTCGACAGACATTGGGTGCTAGTGAGTAGTAGATTTGATAATTATCCTGATAGGACGGAATTGGTCATCCTAGAAGACAAGCATTAAGCATCAATGCCTATTGGTTTTCAAATATTCATTATTGGTTCGTGTCATGAGACATTTGATGAGGAACATCATAAGCCAAGTAATATTGATCATTTTCATGATAGAATGTGCTACGATAAATAACTAATATGCATGCCAATAGTTAAATCACAATAGTAACATTTTTTATGATCACGAATCAATGCACGTAGAAACAGTAAAACTCACATACAATAGTAATAATATCTGTAAACAACAAAACAATATGATACCGAAGCCAGTACAATAGTAGAGTGGAGAAGCCAATAAATCAATATAAGTGTCAAATTAATAAAACAGCCGTTATATTAACACCATCAATTAGTAAATAAATTTTATAAATCAATAAAACCAAAGTATCATTAAGAATTTGTCATAATCATATCAATGTAGTAAGGTCATATAAATGTATGCACATGTATTATATCATCATTGTAATCACACACTTAGCATTACCAGTTCAGTATAAGGAATCATTATAGTGAATCAATAAAAGCAACAATAATAACAAATCAGTAATAGTACCGATAACAATATCAATGTTCATCTTGGTATCAAAAAATTGGTAACAGGAGTAATAAAATAATTCAATAATAGTAAATATACATAGTAAGAATAAATTTGTACAATAATAGAAATAATACCTTAATAACATGCATTTTAGTAGTCACACTGAACAAGTAAGAAGGCTTGGCTTAATAAGTATTTTTTTAGTGTTGTATTGGTATCAATAAATTGTTGGCTCAATAAAGTAAGTCGTCACTCTTTGCTTGTATGAATAATAATCATCTCCTTATAACTCAAAATCAGTATCACATGAATCAGTAGAGGATAACATCAAATCATAATATTTAAAGAAAGGCTCGTCAGCTATCATCTTGTATATGTTAGTTAGTCTCCAATAAATATGAGTGAAACCATATTTTTAATTGTCTTCGCACATTTTATCATCACATTATTATAACAGTAATAATGATCAGTTATTAGCCAATCATACATTCATTTTCATTCTCAATGCATGCATTAATAACATGCTGAAATAAAAAAAAGTCATCATCATCATATAAGAGGGGTAGCGGGGTAGTGAGCAAGCTATCACCTATATATGAGGGTTCACAAAGCATTATTTCAAAAGTTATCATCATATCTAATGATCCTAACTAAACAAATCCAAGGGCAACGAGGGCGCTTGGGAGGTTAGAGAAGAAATAAAAAAGTTTTGTCATGTTATCCTCAATTGTGAAGCTAAAGAATGATCATCTACGAGATGATCAATCTTTAGCTTCACAATTGAGGTGGAGTGAGGGATTGTAACCAAGTTCGAACTTCAAATAATGTTTGAAGTTGAATCAAAACTGGTTCAAACTTATAGTTCCAGCTTTATTCAAATGATAATAATATTTCATATAGCATAAATACAAGTCAGTAACTCTACCAAAATGACCTAAGTTAAGCTTACAAAATCCCGGATATATTTAAGAATGTTTTTTTTTTTTTTCATTTTTCATTTTTTAAGATATAGTTTTTTAATTATTTTTAAAAATTTTGAATGGTAAAAACTAAAATTTTCATATATTTATAGATTGCAATATTTATTAAAAAGTATTATCCATTTTATTTCAAAAAAAAAAAAAAAAAACCAATGTATCCCAAGTTTTTTAGGAAAATTTTAGTAGTAAAACCATCTCTACTAACCATAGAGTTGTCATTCATATTAAAAACAATATCTTTTAATTCCTCAAGAGAGGGAGTACCAGCAACCAGATTATTATCCTCAATAGAAATGAGCGAAGGAATAATTTTAGTGTTAATAATATTACTAGGAATAAAAACCTTACTAAGTCTATCCTGAAACTGATGAATGACCAACATGGCAATCTCTTCAGCATCCTCAATAACAGAGACATCATGATGAGTAATTTTATTGATAGAGTTAGAGTCATATTTTCTTTTAACCAAAGCATGAAAGTACGTATTGTTATTATCACCTTTCAACAGGTGCTTAGCAGAAGCTCTTTGTTTCCAAAAATATCCTTCTTGAGGCTGAAGTTTGAAAAGATTATCCTTTGCCTCTCTAAGAGATACAAAATTTCCATCAGAAGGAAAACTTTTACAGTTAAGCACAAGATTTTTCACAATCTCTTCAACATTTAAAATATTAGTAAAAATATTTTTGAGAACATGATGGTTCCTCCAATTCCAAAGCTACTTAAGTGTTTTCAGCTTAAAAAAATTGATTTGTTTGCAAAAACGGGTTAGGTCGACCTGAACCCGAATAGTGTCGGGTTAATTTCGGGTTCGACCCAAATTCGACCCGGGACCCGAAATTAACACCCCTAACCACATGCTTAATAAATCTTATTTTTCTTTCAATAATATTAAAGCTAATTTTACACTAAATAAGCCCACAGACTTGCAACAAAAATCAGTGGGCGCTGAAACGTTACATCCATCTCCTTATGACCGCTTTGCCAGAAGCGGATTACCACCAATGCATCAATCCTTTGGACCACGTTACAGTGTGGTTTTGCGGTCAGAAAAGTCATTTCTCAATCACCATCATTCTTAGATATTTTCAATTCTGAAAAATTAGTTGGATGAGTGGCAATGACAAGGCATTTTTTAATTAATTATTCTGTTTATTTCACATGTCTTCAATAAATTCATTAAATATTAGGAATTGTGATAGTTACTTAACTATTTTTTTTTTTAAATATGATTAAAATATCTCCTAACTACATTTTATTTGTGTTAATTATTACCCTTATATTATGCTAAAATTATATTATATTTTATTTTTAGAATTTTTTTTTTAATTTTGACAATTTTATTGGTACCACACCTTTCAAATAACATATGATTTTTTTAATTTATATAGGAGCGATGAATGCTCCCTTAGACAGTTATAAAGCAAATATAAAGATAATAGGAGGAGCATATTGTCTATTTTTATGATGATTTTTTAATTGTTTCAGTAGAGTTTGATAGAATTTAGAGTTCGATAATTAAGCTATTAGAAAGTTTTTACGAAATTTCAGTCGAAGAATCTTAATAAAATTTAGGGGGATTTACATACATACACTTTATTTCATGTTATTTATATATTTGATACATCCTCAAAAAATATATTGACGAGACATGAATTTCGAGGCAAAATCAAGTTGGAAACTTCCGAAATTAAAATTAGGACCATCCGAACTCTGATTTCACCAAACTTATAGTCAAACTAAACGTCTCAGAAATATGAACCCAACGACACCAAATTTGACTCAATCCAAGCCCAAATGGGTCCTAATCTAGGTCCCTAAGCGCCGTTGGAAGGTTCAAACCACAATTTAGATTACAAACGGTTTCCAAACTTGACATGCTTATAGTCAAATCGAGCGGCTCGACGAGACGAATTTAACGAGCCCAAGATCGCATAATTTTGACATCATTAAGACCTTCAAATGTCTAACTAACGGTTCACAATCAAAGGATTCAACATCGACGATCCATCCAAACCACTCCCTATTTATCATTGATCTTTCTCTTTTTTACGGGCCATACCACTCTAAAAAATCTATAAATAAACCCCCCCATTCCTCTTGAAAAAGGACCCTAAGCCTAAGGACAAAAGAAAGTTTTTTTTCCTATCTCAAAGCTTTTTTCTATCAATCCAATGTGCATTCGAGTACACTTAAGCTAATTTAAACCTTAATTTGAAGAAAAAATGAGTTTTAAGTTTTAATTTAGTCATTAAATTTTATTTGTAGAAAAATTAAGTTAATATTGATTATTTTTTTAATGAAATAATAAAATTATGTGGAGTTCTATTTACTTTATTTGTTTAAATGTGCTAGGGATTTATTATTTTATATAAATGTTTTCATTTTATTTTATAGAGATTTAAACAATAAGAACATGAAAAAACAAAATAATTTATTTATTTTCAACTTAAGCAGATCAAATTTAATTTTTCGAATAAAAAAGTAAATAAATAAACAATACATATTTAAATATATTTTTACTAATTATAAATGAGCAAATGAGACGTTAAGGACTCCAAAATAAAAAAAATTGACTATTTTCTTGAACTCTGCCTATCATTAAAACAAGTACTTCGAAAGAAACTGGTATATAAATGCGGCAGTATCTAGCAAGGGCCTTGGGTTACGATTTGATCTCTCTTACACGCTCGCGTCTCTTTCCGCAGAATTTGGGGGCGACGGAGAAGAAAACTCTTCGGAGAGAAACCCAAAAAAAATATCTCCTTTGTCGGTGGTAAGCTTCGAAGACTGACGGATGCCTACTTCACTTCTTCTTGTTCTTCTTGTTCTTCTAGTTATTGTTTGTGAGAAGCACAAATCCGCAACTTTTGTTCATTAAAGATAAATTTTGTTAGATCTAGTGAAATGTAGCAGGGATTGGTCATGGAATATGAGTTATTTGGCTTTTGGTTTTGTTGGAGTAGCTCTTTTTTACCATTTCTGGATTGGCCGAATCTGGAATATTGAGTTTTTTCTCTATTCTCTTTCTGAAAGGTTCGAACTTAAAAGCGTGAAATAGTGGGTTTTACTATTTGTAGAAGTACTGGAGTGAGGGCTTTTAGAAGGAAGAATATTCAAATGCCATTACTTTTTGTGGCACTGTTTGTGGTTCGCCTGAGACGTTTTGTGTTCTTAAGAGTGATGGTTTGGAGGTAATTTGTGAGTTTTTTTTTTTTTTTTGAACTTTTTATTTTAATGGAAGTTTTCTATTGATTGTTTGCAGACTGTTTTCATCACTAGAAATTGTCTGAGTTGCTTTTCTATTTGTCTATTTTTTTCACAACTGTCTGAAGTTGCTAACTATCAAGTACTTGTTAGGATAGTTTGTTAGGGTAATAAGTGCAATGGGCGGTTTAGGAGTGAGTTTGTGGGTTATTGCAGGTCTTAGTAGTTTATAGCTTATTAGTGTTTATTAGATATTTGTTAGGTGTTTAATGAGCCGTTAGTATTGTAATTCTAAAAATACCCCTCCTTAGAGAGTATTAGATAATGCAAAATGAATGAATTGAGCTATGAATTCTTTCTTTCTTCTTTCATAATGAATTTATACAGTTATGGGCACCTTTGAATTGCCATTCTCTTCTTCCCTAATCTATTTCTGGAGTTTTTGGCAAGCTCAAAGTTCTTAGTTATCTCGTGATCTTATTTGTTTAGCTGTTAGGGTCTTAAAATATTTCGGAGAATGGGTTGATAGTTCCCGTCCACGTATAGGAGGTGTTGCAGTCCTTGTGCACTATTAGTGTCCTTTACTTGGTTTGAGGTTGAAGATTGGTAGGTGTTTATCCTCTAGCACATCTGGATCAGCTCAAGCACATATGATCAATACCAAATAGTTCTTTAGCACTCATTTTTTGTTTCAAGAATGTCAATTGTTGATACTCTACTTGAGGAAAATTCCAATTTTATATTGCTTTTTGAATATTTAACTATTGATGTTAGGTTATCCGTCCAAATATTTTATTGAAGAAGCTTTATTTGTCACTAGGCGTGAAAATTTTACTATAGATATTAGGTTGTATATTCACTACCTGAAGCGCAATTGGGTTTGGGTGGAATTAAGAGGTCACATGGAAGCAATAAATATGAATACAAAATGCCGATACAACTTGTCAAAGGATGTTCTATTGTTGGGTGAAAGCTTTACAATTCATCTACACACAACATCCTTGAGTTTTGTAGAGAAGATGTGGAACACAGGTGTTGGAGATGAGAGCTAGCACGATGACGTGGTCAACATACTTGAGGTGTTATATGGGGGTTGAGGTGTTCTATAGGGGTTCGTTAGTCCCAGGTGGTGATCCAATAGAGGTATCTTCAACTTTACAGGTGGGATTTCCCATATAATTTCCATCAACAATGGATTACAAGTTTTATATTTGCATGTTTTTTGAGGGAGGTTATCATGGGATGTTTCCCTTAGTCACTGGAGTTGATGTAGCCTAGATTGCCATTATACGAGCACTTACTAGTGCATCTTGTCTTGGTTTTCTGTTCATGAGGGCATCCATCTTGCGAGAAAAGTCCTATAACTGTGTGATGAGTGACGTTAAGTTGGGTTGAGAGGAGTCGCCTTCCACATCGTTCATGGAACCAAGCATGGAAGTAGTGGTAGTGAGTGTTAGATTTCCATGATTTGAACAATTTTCCATTGGACTTCTTTGACTAGTATGAAGGATTTCAATGAGTTCACTAGAAAGATATTAATGGACAATAGTTGTAGTTCGAGTTTGATAGAGACTCGTACTCAAGTTTTCATTGGTTCGAGGAGAGAAGAGAGGATTAAAATGAAGTGTTTTTGAGTTAGCTTACCTAGGCCGAGAAATGTCGAACAATTTTCCATTGGACTTCTTTAAAATTTACTATTTTTGAGTTGCTTTCTTTATTATTATTCTGTTCTTCTCGCTGTTTTTACCAATTTATTGTTAGGGTTGCTTGCAAACTCAAGTTTTCCAATAGGATTACTTGCAAACTCAAGTATTTCATAACAAATTGGTATCAAAGCAAGTCTTGAGACCATTGGGGGGCTGATTTTCTGAAATTTCAGCGGCAAAATTTCATTCGGAGGAAAGGATCCTTGTTGATTTCTGAAGTAAAAATTAGATTTTTTCATGGCGGCCAAGAAGGTAGACGTGTTGGAAGAAAGATTTGAAGGAGAGATGAGCCAAATTAAAGCTACGATGGAAGATTGAATATCATCTGTGGAAGACAAGGTTTTCGATCTTCATGTAATGATGAAAATGTTATTGGAGAGTCAAATCCAAACGGCGGCATCAGAGGCCAAAGAGCCGACGGGAAAAACAACACATTCGGAGTATCGTAGGAGTGACGCTGAAGTGGAAATCATGGAGGAACGAGGTAGGAGGTATGGAGGAAGGCATGGTTATGGGGGGCAAGATTCAAGGAGTGTTGGTTGGGAAAGAAAAAGAAGAGGAATATGGGAAAAGGGGTATTGATTTTGAAGAAAAGAGGGGGGGAAACGAAGAGGGTTTCATGTATGAACGTAGGAGAGAAGATCAGGAGACTTAGGAGAGGCCAAGCACTTGAGAAAGGGGAAACTATGGAGGAATAAGGTTAAACAGGGGGAGATCAAAAGGTAAGGAAGCTGAAGATACCAATCTTCGAAGGGGAGGATGCCTACAGATGAATATACAAAGTAGAAAAGTACTTCGCGTGAATGGGTTGACAAATGAAGAGAAACTGATAGCAGCAGACCTATCTTTGGAGGGAAAGGCATTATCATGGTTCCAATGGAGAGACCAAAGAAGACATATACGGAACTAAAGAGCCTTCAAGGACTGTTTATTGGAACGTTTCCAAACTGATAGGAGAGGAGACTTCTATGAATAGTTTTTCGCACTAGTGCAGGACAGATCATTGGCGGATAATCATGAGAAGTTCGAGCACCTGACCAGTTGGGTAGAGCGATGATTAGAAACTACATTAGAGGGAAACTTCATGAAGGGGCTCAAAGCATAGATCAGTGCGGCAGTTAAAGTCATGATGCATCGCGACTTGGGAGAGGCCATGAAGTTAGCCCAACTGGTAGAAAATCAGAAGAATCTTGAGAGGGGAGTCAGGACCAGCAGTTCGGGAGGCACGTACCAGATGATGACTAGCCACCTAGCACCCAAGGGTTCAGCATAAAGAGGATTTCATGAGACCACCAGGGAGAAGCCAGTAGGAGGGAGTGGGGAAAATTTCAAGAGGTTGCCAGAGAAGGAGATGCAGGAGAAGAGGTCAAATGGGTTATGTTTTCGATGTGAGGAAAAGTATACTCTAGGGCATATGTGTAGGGATTGAACTCTTCAGATTCTGACCATCTGTGATGATGAGGAAACTGAGGAGGGAGGTGAGAGAGAGATGGATGACAAATTGCATCTGGATGTGACGGAGGTCTCCTTGAATTTAGTAGTAGGATTCACTTCGAATCATATGATGAAGGTAAATGGGGAAATAACAAGCATGGAGGTGGTATTATTGATTGACCGTGGGGCTACCCATAATTTCATTTTCATTCAAGTCGTCAACCAACTGGGAGTGAAATTAGTGGATGCTGGTTATTATGGGGTGATGATTGGTACAAGGAAGGTAGAGAAAGGCCAGGGGATTTGTAGAGGAGCGGTGTTGACCATCTAGGAGATTCAGGTAAGGAAATATTTTCTCTCATTAGAGTTAAGAAGTACTGATATCATTTTGAGGATGAAGTGGTTGCAAACCTTGGGAGAAACTAAGGATAATTGGGGAGCACTCACGATGGAATTAATGGTGGATGGGAGAAAGCTGGTTATAAGGGGAGATGAAACTATTGTATCACTTAAGACCATGGTTAGGAGCATACAAGAGGTGGGGGAAGATTATCTGGTGGGACTACACAGGTGGGAGGCGATCAGATTGGAGGAGGGAGGGGATGTTTCTCTTTCAGTGCAGCCCTTGATTCAACAATTTGGTAAGATTTTTCAGCCACCTCGAGGATGGCCACCTCCACAGGAACACGAGCATATTTTCACAAGTTTTGAGATATCAGCAACTTTAACAGAGGACTTGGAGGTGCTACTAGAATCCTTCGAGTTATAAGGGGTACACAAAGGAGGGGTAGGAGTATAAGAGATATTGATCAAGTGGAAGGATCTTCTAGATTATGAGGCGACATGGGAGCCTTATGAGAGGATAAAACATTAGTTTCCCTCTTTCCACCTTGAGGACAATGTGGTTTTTTGGGAAGGCGGTATTGTTAGGTCGGTTCCTGAACCGACACAGTCGGCTCCAATGAGTCGGCCTTAATCTACAGGAGGTGGGTAAAACTGCTTCCCATGTTGCCGCCCAAGCAATAGGGGCCCACGCCCTATTTGATTGCCACCCATTAATAGTGGGGTCCACTATTTGAATTTATCTATTTTTGGCAAGGGGATTAATCTATTTGATTTAATATTTTAATCTATTTTTGGTAAGGGGATTAATTATTTGATTTAATTTATTTTTGGTTTGGGGGGGGGGGGGGGCAGCTAAGGCTATAAATAGGCATGGGAGGGAAGGGATAGGGCATGCTTGAATATTGTTTTCTCTTGGAGTCTCTTGGGTGTCTTGGGCTCTAGACTTAGTGTCTAGAGATTGGGAGAGAACGATCTTCCTCTCAAATACAGGATCAATTGTATCTTTGCTTATGTTATTTTGCTAATAAAATCTACTGTTTTTGGGTTGCTTTCTTTATTATTCGTGTGTTCATCTCGTTGTTTTTACCAATTTATTGTTAGGGTTGCTTGCGAACTCAAGTAGTTTCGATAGGATTACTTGCAAACTCAAGTATTCCTATCGCTTTTGTAGAACTACAAAATATTTCTTCCCTTGATCTATTCTTCCTAATAATTCTCAAAATTTATTTTAGAAAATAACAATTACATTTAATGATAATTAAAAATAATTAAATTGTGTGTTTAAATCTTATCTTACTGTAAAGGAAGGAGAAAGGGTGTAATCATGTATATCTCTTCTCCTGTTTTATTCCTCTTCTTCACTTCATAATTTTGACACAATTTCATAAGAAAATAACAATTATATTGGTGTTATCAATTTAAATGTTTAAGGAGTGGGTGACAAATTGGTTGAGAAGCGGGTTATAAAGTTTCTTGGATTCCTGCATGCATTGAAACCAACTTAAGAGGGGGTAATGAAGCTCTACAAAGATGTGCAGGCAACATGGCCAACTATAAGGAGTGGCAATGAAGCTGCATGAAAGATGAAGATGATGGTATTGATTGCGTAGTAGGGGATGAAGTTGCATGTAGCATTGCAGGGACAGATTTTAGATGAAAGGGAAATCAACAACTTGAAACTTGTGGGAATATTACTAAAGAATGGACAATGAAGTTGCATATAAAGGTGCAGGTGATTTGACTGATTGAGAAGAGAACAATGATTTACCTTGCCATTGGAATTTATTTAAAATTTGATTGGATAGACTTGGCATCGGGTCAGCTTGTTTGGGTTTAGGCTAGGTGTCTGGTTAAGCTTTCGAGCCACTACTTTGATTAATGATAAAAAAAAACATGGGTTTGTTTACAACGACATTATAATCTATTCAGAGTTGTGTGGTTGATTGATGGGAATATCTCATTTATATCTAATGAAAACAAACACCCTTATTTGCGAAGAATGTCAAGGATTTTTTTTAGCTCGAGATAAATGTTTTTAGACAAACTGATTGTGGCAGGTTGGAGCAGGACAACTGAGCAGTTCAAAGAAGATTTAGACTTCCTGGATCTTCAGCAACCAAACAATAGCATGTTGATGACAATTGAGATTACCTTCATGTTCCTCGTTGATGGCTAGAGTCTGGAGTCTCGGTCTACTAGCTTTCTTGTTCTCCCCTCTTTCCTCCTTTCACGTGTGCATGCCCATACAATGAAAAAGAAAATCAACGTCTGCTGACCCTATGTTGGTCTGACCAATTTGATTGATTTAGGCTTCGTTTGAGATGACTTTCTTTCTTCTTCTTAAATCATCTTTCTAGTATAAAAATTGTAATTTTTGTACTAGAAAACTGCTTTATGAAGCTGTAAAAAAGCCGTCCCAAACGAAGCCTTAGACTTGCATAGATTTACTTGAACCTCTTAGTATGTTTTGTCAGGTCAATTTAGGCTCAAATTAATTTATTCAAACCGAGTTGAATTTTACTATGCTTATAAGCGGCTTTAGATATATGCTCCACTAAAATATTTTGCTTGATCAGATATAGATTTTTATTATTCCATTTGTCATTTGTTGTAGGAGCTTAGCTTGAAATGCTTAGCAGCTGAAAGAAATTGACCAAGGATAGGACTTCAATTTGAATCTAAGAGGTGCTTTGCAGTAAAACATACTGGACAACATCCTGGGTAGTCTACCAATTCTAGGTCTTGTTTTGATGGCAACATAATTGAATTTAGAACAGTTAATTACATAGTTTATTACTATTTCGCATTTTTTTTGTGCCTCTTTTCAGGTGATAATACTTTTCGGAAGCACAGTTCGTTCTGAGTTGGTAGAATCCTGATGTGAAGTATCTTAAGTTTCACAGTCATATAACAACATTGGAAACAAAAAACTGCTCATGTGTACTGAATGGAAATGAAATCTGCACAGGTAATAATAGCATAGGGCCACTTTAACTTATTGTTTGTATATATTTACTATCCTTTTGAAAGCTATTTAATGGGCTACTATTTGTTATAAAAGAAACCCTTAGAAAAAAGCAAGGAAAATTTACATACATACCACTTTATAACATCCTATTTACATATCTAACACCTAAAACTTTAATATTACATCCATACCACCCTATATTATTTTAATATCAAATATACCATTTATATTTCTTTCCTACCACTCATATATCTACCACTCATACTTTGTATGAAAATGAACTATGGGTGATATTTATGTAATATTAAAGTTTTAGGTGTTAAATATGTAAATAGAATAGTATTAAGTGGTATGTATGTAAAACTCCCAAAAAGCAATTATAATTACCTATCATTCTTGCTTGACAGAACCATGTAAGCATGTTTAATAGAGATTCCATCATTAATTGTTATATGTTTTTTCTTTTAGTTGTCATTTTCTTTGTTGTTTCCAACAACTATATCCTTCAAATCTCTTGCGTTTAGTTGTTTTTGAGTGGGGGAAAAGTGAGGCCATACCCAAACTTATTACGAGCTTCAGACGTTACCATCATCAACAAAAGTAACAACAACAATATTATCATCATTAATATCTTGCTCTTACTATAGATTGTGTGTGGTAATGGAACAATTATTAGGTCCTCCGACCGGACGTAGAGCTACGTCCGGTTGGAGTTAAAATCGCGCCAAAAAACGAGAAATACCGATTAATACCAAACAATAGCGAGGAATACCATCATGTGAAGACCCAATACCGAGTTATACCGAGCTATACCGAGCAATACCGAGTTATACAAAAAAATACCGAGTTTTTCCTAGAAAAAACTCGTTATTTTTTGTATAACTCGGTATTGCTCGGTATAGCTTGGTATAACTCGGTATTGGTCTTCACAGGGCGGTATTCCTCGTTATTACCAAATAATACCTAGCAATACCGAGCAAATACCGAGTTTTTTGGTGGGGTTTTATTGCCGACCGGACGTTCCTCTACGTCTGGTCGGATGACCTAATAATTGTTCGTGGTGATGAGGGCGTTGACTGTCTTGAACGGAAGTGTGGGTTAGGATTGAGAACAATGTGTCACTAATTAACATATAAAATGAGAGAAAGCACGTAACCGAAGATAACAAGATTTACATAATTTGATTTCAACCATGCTTACATTTTTCGAAGAGGAGAGATGATTTAATCCACTTTCAAAAAGCCACAATTGTGGTATATAAATCAAGATCACTTACCAACCCTTTCAATTCTCAAGTATACGTTTGCACAATGAAGTTAAAAACTCTCAAATAGAAGATAATTATCTCTCACCAAGATGCTAAACACCCAATACAAAGCCAATTAGAACCCCCTTGTTGATGATGTTTGCCAAAGTTGTAATATTACAACCTCCATCACCTAAGAGAAATCCAATTAAGAGGTTAGCTTCACCAAACAAATCTGAAATTCTAATCTTAGAAGATAAGTCTTGGGTGCTAGGAAATAGGCAAACACCTTTGAAAATAAAAAGTTAAAAAAAAGAATAGAAAATATAAATGATCAATACACAAAAACGGTAAAAAAAATTCATACTTGTTCACCAATTAATTACTACAAGCTGATGTTGCAGATATTAGATTTAAGTGATTTGATTGTGGAGAATCATATACTTTTTTATGGAAGTAATTCTCAATTTTCAATCTCGAACTTCTTGATCATTAATCTCATAAATTCATTTTGTTGTCAATTAATTGTAAGGAGGGTATTAAATGACTTAAAGTTGAAGTAGCAACTTGGATCAAGAATGTTGTGCCACAAACAAATAAAAGTGAGAAACAGAAAGCACATCAGATAAGGTACCAAGATTTGGATAGTTTGGCTTCAACTAAGTTTGCATCCATAGGAGAGGAGAGAAGGTTCAATCCATTATTAGAGAAGCCACAATCATTGTGACAAATCAAGAGCACTCACTATGCCTTTTCTAGTTCTCAGGTACACCCACATACAAAAGGAAAATCCCAAAATAACTCTCAAATATAAGATGATTGTCTCATTAAGATATCGAATGCGCAAAATGAAGCTAGCCAAAATCCTAATGATTCTTCTCGCTAATGTTGTAATCCTATAACCACTATTTGAACAGAACCAAACAAAGAGATTTGTTTCTCCAAATGCACACAAAATCCTAATACGAGTGGTTATGTTCTGGAAACCCCCAATATATGATTTCTGAAATCTCTTTCGCAGTATAAATATTGATATGCAAATATTTAACCACACAAATTCATTTGAGAAAGAGAGGCATATATCCTAACATTTATTCCTTATTCACTTGGGCTGATGTGTTGGTATCGATTTAGTCTATTTGATCCTTTGTTTGATTAAATAGGAATATTCTAAGAATGTTACATACTTAGGCTTCATTTGGGATAACTTTCTTTCAGCTTCTTCAAGCAGTGTTTTAGTGCAAAAAAAAATAAATTGTACTAGAAAGCTGCTTTAAGAAGTAGAAAGAAAGCCGTCCCAAACGAAACCTTAATATTAAGTCACATTTTAACAATGTGGCTTCATGAATCCTTTGTTTTCCAGTTAATTAGGAGTGCTTTTAGATCTTATTTGCATAAATCTTTTTGCTCAGTTGCCAACCATTTTATCTTTGGTCTAATTTTTTTCTTTCTTATTCCTTTCATATTCATTTTATCTTCCTATGGAATTAATTATACATTCACTTTGATAAGCATTGTTCCTCTGTACCTCTAATACAACTATCGTTTGTAGTCTGCTTAATATGATGCAATGCTCGTTTTCTTCTTCAGTTCTTAGCCAGGAATCATTATGTTTGTCTATCTAGTTAGTACTGTTTAATATTTCATGTTTATATTATCATCTTTATTTATCATTTCATTATTTATTAGGGTTACAATAGATATTTGTTACTGTGAACAACCATTATCTCAATGCTTTTAGGATTAGTGTTCATAAAAATTAAGGCTACTATTATAAATTGTAACCCTTTAGAATATTATTGAGAGTTGTTGATGATGGAATAAAGATATGGCATTCTTTTGGCATTCTCTTAGGGGATCGGTTTCTTCTTACTTACTCTTGAGGTATTTATTCTTCTAATCTTTTCAATTTCTTTTTCTTAACTTTTTTAGTTCTATTTCTACACCAAATTCTTCATTTTCAGGACTTCAGATATATTAGAAGTCAAGCCTGCTCTTAAAAGCCTTCGAATTCTAAGAATTCTTAATGAGTAATATGTATTAAGGTTTATTATGATCACGTCATCACCTTCTTCACTCCAACTTCCTCTCCTTATTTTGATTGTGTTAGGGAGTGAACCAAAGTTGGGCTATCCGATGTGGGACTAAATTCGAAGACTCATGTGCTTTAATAGATTGGCATATTCACATATGCAACATGAACCTTATGCTTTATTAAATACCCAAAATCATGTTAAATCAAACCACCTAGGATAAAATAGATTAACAAACCCATGTTCCTTAGCCTAGCAGTTTTTCACCCTCTTAATTTCCCTTGAACATCAATGTAGTGATCTTTTCACGACCCGGCCCAAATGCTCGATTTAACGAGGCGGGAATTAAAAGTTGGACGGTAGAATCTAATTATTTCAGTTCATAAATAATACCACAATTAAGACATCATTTTTATTTCTCCTTTTATCTGAAGAGCCACCAACAAAAAAATTTCAAATACTTAACATTTAAAAAGATCATAAATTACCTATCTTCAGTGTTGTATCGTCTTTTATAAACAAATTCTTCCCTTTCAGCGATTTCTTCTTCTTTGGGGGCGTTTACCTGAACATTAATTTAGTGGTTTGAGTTTACAGTGTAAACTCAGTGGGTAACTGTTAAAACAATCAATATGAATATTCTTTATTTACAATACACCTATAATATTTAATATGCATCTTATCATTTCTTAACTTTATTTCATTCATTTCAGTCATTTATACATATCCGATCATTTTCCTTTAAAACATTTTAAAACTTTAATATTTTCTTTTCTCATTTAATTCGTACAGGAGCACAGTCTAAATGTACTCAAAAGTATAACCATTTTCATTTTCATAACCTTTTCCTTTTTAACGTGCATGAGTACGACATCCACAGCCAGTACTATAAAGAGGTGAACTCCTGTAGTTTGCATGCTTATTATTTTTCTTTCTTTTCCATTTATTTTGAACATTTTTATTCATTTTCATATGTCATTTCTTCGTTTGCATATTTCCTTAATACATACATATATCATATAACATCCTTTTTCACTCATATACTTAATTTCATTCATGTTATTTCATTCTTATTATTTCATCCTTTTGTTTTCTATTGTAATAATATTCACATTTATTTATGCATTTAAGCTTTCAACATTTCACACATGATAGTATCTAAAAATAAAACCTTTAAAGCAATTTTATGATACAAAACACTATATCATATTTGAAAGAATAATACAAAATATTAAATTTCATAATTATAATTACCCACTTGAATGTTTTGGCTTCAATACTTTCCAATATTCAACTCTTGCGACAATCTTTCTTGCTACAATCAAATCTCCTGAAAAATTCTCTTATTTGTGTCAATTCTTCACCTTGCACACAAAGTTAGTCAATTTCTTTCTAATCCATCAATATTAACATTAAGAATTTCTCCAAAATAGGCAAGAAATAAAATTCTTAACTCGTATCTTTTATCTCAAAGGACCTTTCTTATTTGATGAGTCGGACTCCCTCAAAATTTTGATTTCTTCCTTTTCCTTAAAAAGGGATTATTCCAACTCAAAATCCTTCTCACTCCTTTCCCAAATTCTTCAAATCTCTTCCTTTGTCCTTAATGAAACACCCTCATTATTTAGATGAAGAAATAGGGAAGGATTTATACAGAAATAGAGAAATAAAAACAAACATTCTTCTCTTTCTTCCTCTCAGCCGTTCCTCTTCAACATGAACTTTCCCTCTCGCGATTTCTTCTACCGGAAAGAGCGAACTATCAATATCCCGTGAGAGGAGTTGTTACCTTTCATCCTTATACACTAAAATCCAATCGACGATGCAATCCGAGCTGTTCAGGAGGCGTTATGCACACGAGCGGCATCGCTCGCGGTCCGCCTGGACCGCGATCTCCCTCCCGCGAGCTTCTGTTAAACGGGGGAGGGGCTGGTTCAGCTGAACCGGTCTTTACAAATCTCTTTATCCAATTCTCACTATACTCATTAACCCTTCCTCTTCCCCAAACCCTCTTTCTAACTTCCTAACAAAATCTTCTCCACCTCATCTTTAAAAGTCTTCAACCAAATCACCAAAATCATTACCTTACCACCTCTTCGCATTCAATGTTTCTAGCTACCTCATCAGCATCCCCATGCACTTCTGATATCATCAACAAAACTCATTCAAAATTCGAACCACAAACAAGCCTAATCCTAAATTCAACCCCAACCATAACCAATTATCCATTCAAATTTCAAATAAGCTTTAGCGAGCCCTTCTCTATTTGCGAATAGCATTATGCCCAATCTTCTTCACATTATTTTCTTGTACATCTCAAAATTGAGACAACCTCTTTTATACAACAACAACAACAAGCCTTTATCACACTATGTGGGTCGGCTACATGAATCCTTTTTCTCCATTGTGTCATGTTAAGAGTCAAATTCTCATCTAAATCTAAAAAAAGGGGTCATTTCTAATATTTTTTAACCAAGTCTTTTTAGGTCTACCTCTACCTTTCTTAACATAAGTTAAATCTAATACATCTACTTTCCTAACCGGGTCATCGGAAGGTTGCCGTTTTATGTGACCAAACCATCTAAGACGACTCTTTCTAATCTTATCTTTCACTGGAGCTACCTCTTTTATATTGAAAAAGTTATTTATTGAAATCCCAACCCAATTGATTTATGTACCACAACCCAATCCAATTTGATTGATCTCAATCCAAATTACCCTAAAAATTGTTAGCTTCAATCAACCAGTGCTTTAGTCAAATTAGATCAGATTGGCAGCTTCAATGAAGACTTCGATGTTTTTAGCGATAGCTTTCCTTCGATGATGAAAGTGGTCACGAGGATTGATGAGCGTCGCAGTCAATAATATTATTGTCTTGTTAGTCTAGCCCTTTATCTGTTCTTCCGTGGGATGTATTTTCCATTTGTCACTTCATTATGGAATATCTATTTCTCTCTTTTTGAGGATGTATTTCACTAACTCAACAATATAATCAATGACCTAATGTTCTTCATTCTGCAGCATTTCAACTCTCCGAAATATGGTTCTTTTAATTCAAGGCATTTGATGTTGTGATAATCGTCTACTTCATTTCTTCATTTAGTTAGTATTATTAGTTTGTCATATTAATGCATCATCATTGTTTTTCAGATGTAAAATAGCCATTTGTCACTATGGCATCCATCTTGTTTTTCTGAATGTTTCTAGGGTTAGATTGCCCATGATGATTAAACCTTGTAAACATAGTAAGCCTTCATGGCCGATTATAGAAACAATAAAAGAGTGTTCTTTCAAACTCTTTGGGGATTGGTTCCTTCATCTTACTCCTGGATGTGAGGTTGCTCTCTCTCTCTCTCTCTCTCTCTCTCTCTCCACTTGAAGTATTTATTCATCTGATATTCTCAATCTCCTTCTCATTACTTCAATGTTGGATTCTTCTCTTTGTGTCAGTCAAGTTATCAAAATCTACCATGATCTTCACTTTCGCTTCCTTGCTTGCAATATCAGTGTCAGAGAATGAAGGATACGGTAAGTTGTGGATGACAAATGTTGTCAAGTTAAAGTACAAAAGAGTGTGCATTATATTTCATCATCTCCCTTTGGTCACTTTTTGTCCTGTCAGCACATTATATGGCTGGGCCCCTGATGGTTGTGGTCTGTGGGTTTGTTTATTTAAATATTACGCAGGATTCTCCATGTGCTGCAGAAGGTCAACCACCTTCACAAGAATCTCAAGGTAACCAGCAGAATAATGGAGGTGGTGATGCTCCTGTAGCAGAATCTAATGCTACTGCAAACAGTGATAACAAGAAAGTCTCTCGTGAAGATATTGAATTTGTAAGAATGCTTTGTGGTGCTAATAAAATTTTATTGAATTTGTAAGAGTGCTTTCTTGTGTTAATTAAAATTTTTAGACTAAAAAGTCAGTTATTTTTCCTTTAAAAATGGCATTCAATATTCTATCTAACCCATTACTCCTGTTATTTATGCAGGTTCAGAATCTGATAGAACGATGTTTACAACTTTATATGAATAGGGGAGAAGTAGTCAGAACTCTGTCTAGTCGTGCCAGGATTGAGCCAGGCTTTACAACCTTAGGTGGGATGATCATTTTAATAGTTTTTTTTTTGTCTACTTACAATTGGCTCAATTCCACAAATTACACCTAGGTCCCTATATACTTTCTTATTTAGCATCCTTACTTCAGCTATATTACTGATTATAAATGTTTTTATCCACAAATGAGTTCCAAATGTAGCTTTCACCTTAGCATTCACATTGGAATCTGCATGATGTCTTGCTACCTAAACTACTAGAACATGGGTTTCTTTTCTTGAGAACCAATTTACTTTTATTGAAAATAAATTTGTTTTCTTAGCTTGCTTCTCTATTTCAACAATCAAATAAAGTCATTCTCAGCTATTTCTCGAACAATCAAATCTACACTGGTTTCCTATAATCTTCTCCCACAAACTATTTATTTTCTAAACAATTTAAATTGTGTGGCTTAACACGAAAAGTAAATCTCAAATATTGATGAGGACATCAACAGGAGATTCTGGTGCGTCTATCATAGGAGAAATCGAAGATCAACGGTTATGATTAGGAGTCTCTATTTATGATGGATTTTATGTGTTTCTTGTGCTTATGTTTTAGTTTTTACCATTGTACTCCTATGTGGGATTAGTTTGTGTTGTAGCTCAGAAGGCATTTTAGTCTTTGTGTCTGTTTTATTTTGAGGCCTATATATGGAGGCCTTCGCTGTTGTAGGAGGATGATGATTAATGAGAAATTTTTTGCATTCTTGTTCTCATGAGTGTTGAGAGCTTTAGAGAGAGGAGAAGTCCCTAGGTGAGGGCAAAAGCAACTCCCGCCAGCTGCAGGAAGTGTCCGGGCTCTCGGTTTCCCCTTCCCATTCCTTTCCTCCCTCCCTCCTCCTAGCCGAAACCACCCTCTCCTTCCCCCCATACCGTCGGCCGAGCCCCTTCCCCTACCTTGCCGCCGACCAAGTTCCCCCCCCCCGGTTTGCCGCCTGCCAATCTCCCTCCCACACCTTGCTGCCAGCCAACCTACCCATTCCCTTTGGCTCCAATTTCAAATTGGCCCATTATTTAATTACCCTGCTCTGGAATAATCGTGGGATTTAATTATCAAATTCTCATAGCCTCTCTTGAATTCCTCATCTCCTCTTTCTCCATACAAGCCGCCGGCCACCCTAGTTCCCTCTCGGAATTGGAAGAAATTTCACTCTCTATGGATAGCCGACCCCGAGCATGATCATGGCTTCATATTTGACCCTCAAGGATGAGTGGATGTTCATCCGTCGCCTTTCTTCGACATCAATTTTGAGATCGACCATTTCGCCGAAGACTACATCGATTGAATCTTTTTTTCATTAACAACCGCCATCGACGAGCATCAACTTCCCGTTCAGTGGCAAATCCTCCAACATCCACTAGCTACCTCCTCTCCGAATAACTCTTCATTGAGCAATACCATAAGTGCCTACTATCTTGTGGTGGCATCATTGACATTGTATAAATTATTCTTCTGTTGAAAATACTCAAGAGTTTCGAGTGAGGGAAACTCAAGATGATCAATCTAATTGTTAACCGGCGGATTCTTGTGATTGGCAAATTAAACATTTCATATTTTCGATCTTATTTTAATTTCTCCATACTCTATATAGATGCGTGCTATTATAAGATTTTTAACTGAGAAATCCTAGAATCTATTCTTGTGAAACATTAAATTTTAATTAGCAAGCTTAATAACTTTTTATGATTTCCACGCAATTCTTGCAACTGTTTTATGTTTCATATCATCTTGATATCAAAGCTCGGTTGTGTCGTCGTTGCATTCTAGGATTCCACATACCCATTTAGTAGACGTCTTAGTTGCATCCACCCTTTCCATACAACGTCATTACATTACCATTGTGTCTGCATTAGTTACCAAACTTTGGAGTCAATGGACCCCGAACAAATTTAGCGTACCGTAGACTTTATCGTAGATCAATTAGGTACTGTGACCCAACAACTAAGAGATACCTAAGGTGAGTTAGCTCATTTTCGTCTCCAAGATGGAGAACGTTTAGACAACATTGAGAGACTAGGGAACCACACAATGTATACCCCCTCTAGGCCTCCTTCCCCTTATGTTGATGAGGCACGAGCTGATGACGTACCTCCTTGAGACCTATGCTGTCATAACAACCTTAGGCCCCATCGCAAACCAGCGGGTCATGATCCAAGTTGGCGAGATAATGATGCTCAACCACTCAAAAACATTCGAATTGGCACTCTCGACCCACAAGTCTTTCTGGACTGGCTTAAAGGAATGGATAACTACTTTAAATGGTAAAATATTTCAGAAGCTTGGAAGGTTAGGTTCGCTGAGATGAAAGTTACAGGGAGAGCTAGTCAATACTAGATGAACTAGAAAATATGTGTGAAGCTCGAGGTGAATACCCCATCACTAACTGGAGAGCTATGAAGCAAGAGCTCAAGTAGAAATACCACCCTCCGTTCTATTACCCCAAACTCTTATATAGGTGGAATAGACTGACTCAGGGTAACAAACTCGTGAAAGACTACATCTCTTCTTTCAATCATTACATGATTCGTTGTAGTGGCGAAGAAACCACCACCCCAGCCCAAATCTTATCTATGTTTAGAGCTGGCCTTAGGGAGGACATTCATAATGAACTTTTCGCAAGAGGAGTTAATACTCTTGAAACTGCTTGCAGTCTCGTACTTGGTCTTGAAGAGTCTAGGACTTAGTCCCATTCCCGTAACCTAGACACCCGACCCCCTCCTTTCAAAACTGCCCCCAGTCAATCTCAAAATAAACCTCTCGGCCCTTTGACTGGTCGGCCCTCTGTTGGCCAATTCCAACCCCGCCCTGACTACAAGGGTAAAACTCCTGAGCGTGAGGCACCCAAAACTAATCCAGGAACTAAGTGTTTTAAGTGTCATGGATATGGACACATTGCCTCGCAGTGCTCAAGCTCTTATAAAGTCACCATAATTGTAGAAGTCAAGGACGAGGATGAGCCTGATACTGAATTAGTTCATCATATTGATGACGAGGACGATTTCTTTTGTGAAGAAGATACTTCCATGATTCACCGTGCAAAAAATGGATCATGTTAAACTTCAAGTTGTTAGTTGTGCCTTATCTCAACCTAAGCCGAGTAACGACTGGCATAGAACTTCCATCTTTTACACCTTCACCAAGATTGGTGACAAGAACTGCAAGGTTATTATCGATAGTGAAAGTTGTATTAACGCTATCTCTTCCACCATTATTACCAAACTTAATATGAAAACGGTTTCCCACCCGAATCCCTATAAGGTTGCGTTGATAAATTCGACCTCTTTAGAAGTAAAAGACATGAGCCTTATTCTCATTGAGTTTGTGAGATACAAGGAAAAAATTTGGCGTGACGTTGTGACAATGGATGTAGGTCAAATTATCCTTGGTCGCCCATGGTTATTTGACAACGATGTTCATATTTATGGGAGATCTAATACCTGCATGTTTGAATGTGACTGGTCAGCCCTCTGTTGGCCAATTCCAACCCCGCCATGACTACAAGGGTAAAACTCCTCTTCATTGAGCAATACTATAAGTGCCTACTATCTTGTGATGGCATCATTAAAATTGTATAAATTATTCTTCCGTTGAAAATACTCAAAGAGTTTTGAGTGAGGGAAACTCAAGGCGATAAATCTAGTTGTTAACTGGCGGATTCTTGTGATTGGCAAATTAAACATTTCATATTTTTGATCTTATTTTAATTTCTCCATACTCTATATTGTAGATGCGTGCTATTATAAGATTTTTAACTAAGAAATCCTAGAATCTATTCTTGTGAAATATTAAATTTTAATTAGCAAGCTTAATAACTTTTTATAATTTCCACACAATTCCTGCAACTGTTTTATGTTTCACATCATCTTGGTATCAGAGTTTGGTTGTGTCATCGTTGCATTCTAGGATTCCACATACGCATTTAGTAGACGTCTTAGTTGCATCTACCCTTTCCATACAACGTCATTACATTACCATTGTGTCTGCATTAGTTATCAAACTTTGGAGTCAGTGGACCCCGAACAAATTTAGCATACCTTAGACTTTATCGTAGGTCAATTAGGTACTGTGACCCAACAACTAAGAGATACCTAAGGTGAGTTAGCTAATTTTCGTCGCCAAGATGGAGAACGTTTAGACAACATTGAGAGACTAGGAAACCACACGATGTATACCCCCTCTAGGCCTCCTCCCCCTTATGTTGATGTGTCACGAGCTGATGACGTACCTCCTTGAGACCTATATTGTCATAACAACCTTAGGCTCCATCGCGAACTAGCGGGTCATGATCCAAGTTGGCGAGATAATGATGCTCAACCACTCAAAAACATCCGAATTGGCACTCTCGACCCAAAAGTCTTTCTGAACTGGCTTAAAGGAATGGATAGCTACTTTAAATGGTAAAATATTTCAGAAGCTAGGAAGGTTAGGTTCGCTGAGATGAAACTTACAGGGAGAGCTAGTCAATACTGGATGAACTAAAAAATATGTGTGATGCTCGAGGTGAATACCCCATCACTAATTGGAGAGCTATGAAGCAAGAACTCAAGTAGAAATACCTCCATCCGTCCTATTACCCCAGACTCTTAGATAGGTGGAATAGACTGGCTCAGGGTAACAAACTCGTGAAATACTACATCTCTTCTTTCAATCATTACATGATTCGTTGTAGTGGCGAAGAGACTACCACCCCAGCCCAAATCTTATCCATGTTTAGAGATGGCCTTAGGGAGGACCTTCATAATGAACTTTTCACAAGAGGAGTTAATACTCTTGAAACTGCTTGCAGTCTCGTACTTGGTCTTGAAGAGTGTAGGATTCAATCCCATTCCCGTAACATAGACACCCGACCCCCTCATTTCAAAACTGCCCCTAGTCAATCTCAAAATAAACCTCCCGGCCATGTGACCGGTCGGCCCTCTGTTGGCCAATTCCAACCCTGCCCTGACTACAAGGGTAAAACTCCTGAGCGTGAGGCGCTCAAAATTAATCCAGGAACCAAG